GATTGGCAGCCCATGTCTGTGCAACATTTTGAATTAACTTGGCCAGTTATATATTACTACTATATTTACCCAAGAATGTCAGTGTGTAACACGCGTGACGTCACTCCACGTCGAACAGCCCCCCTCATTGTAATCATGAAGAAGTGACGTCTTACAAATAGACACCCCCCCCTCCATTAATAATAATTAGCGGGTGACGTCACTCCACATGGCTGGGCGAGGCGCCTCCTCCCCCCTCCACAGCGTCAACTTACAACCCTCACTACAAAGGCAGAACCCTCACGTCACGCGATCTCCGTGACGCTGTTGAGACATCAAAGTAAAAAGGACGTCACGATGAACAAGTGATTATAACCTTAAAATGAAATAGGTCTGTGTCACCGCAGCCTTACAAACTGCGCACGCATTGATGCAATGAATATCACATCGCTGCTCTGCTTTTCGCTTGCAAGCTTCAGATTTACTGCAATACACCCGTCCTTGGACGAGCAAAAGGCTAGTCAATGTTAAATAGTAGTGTAACAATTCACAGCCCCTACAAGTGAAGGACTTTGCTTCGAGATTATAATTTGTCTACATATTGTGCTGCATATATTGGCACGAAAACCCATTGCATACAGCAGCGATTCTTTGTTGCTCTCTGTCAAGTTGCATCCCCCCTTAAGAGAGGGCGAGCACACACACACACACAGAGTGTGGGGTGGATAGCGAACGCTGCACAGACGTCGTTACAAACACCCTTGCCGCAGTGCCTCCTGCAGACACTGCCGCCCTGCTCGCTCAAGGGTCCATCAGCGGCTGACCGGCTGGGCCGTGGTGGTGGTGGTGGCTATGCACGCCTGTAATCCAGCACTGGAGGCGACGGCTGGTGAAACACACGAATACAAATGTTGTGAAACTCCCTTCTCATTGAGAAGCTTGGGGGCGCCACGATGGCGAGATGTTAATCACCTCGCCTGGTATACAGGAGGTTATGGGTTCGATACCGACCCTAACGCCTGTATATTTTAAGTTTGCGTGTTCTCCCAGTGGTCACGTGGATTTTTCTCCAGGTCTGAAGGAAGAGCATTCCAGACAGCCACAGAAGCGCATCTGAAAGCGCCGCGCATAATGCGGTGACCACTGCCTTTGTTCGATGGCGATCCAAAAGCCACGGCGAGGATAAAATATAGTTATAAAGATGAAGTTCGTGTGTGCACGTGGAGTTTGTCTCTCTGTGGGCACACCTAGGCCATGAGTGGATACGTCAGCGTTTCGTCTGCCAGCGACTTGCCTCCGCTTGCCGCAACTCTCGTTGATGTCCCCCAAAGTGGTTAAACCAGGTCGTGGGCAACCAAACATCACAGGTAGAGCCATTTTATTTGAATTCGGGTGACAACAAAAAAAACCTCAATATTTCAAGAGCCCCAATGCACCGTGTGGTGAATACTAGAGACGGTGGTCCGTTAATAACTAACGTCACGAAGCAGTACATTAAAGAACCTGCATGTGTGACTGTAACACGTGGGTTTTTGCAGCCAGTATTATGATTATTCGTTGATGTTTGTGTTAGGCCACTCCATAGTAATCTGGACTAATCTGTGTCACTTAAGGCCCTCTACCAGCAGACACGGCCAAACAAATCAACTTGTCACGTGGTGTACATGCGTTTTAACTGCATTTAGCAGTTATATGCATTGCATGCTATTGCTACATTATGTTGTTAGAATCACATCACAGCGTATCCAGTTGCTAAATGTCCTCATGGGAATTGTCCTTCAACTTGCACGGTGAGTGAGCTGACACAGTAGCGGTTGTGCTGCGTCAGTGGGTGGCGGGATATTAACCATACTTTTGGCCGGTTAATTACATCGCCTACCCGAACAATCTTTCGTAAACGAAGGCGGGGTAAAAGTTAGGTGGACATTCCGGCAAAATATGCATTCACCGAAGCGCCGCTAATATAGTAGAATATTGCGTCAGCAGTTTGCCTGCTGTGTTTGTCTCACCTGATGACGGTTGCTTGTGTTGCGATCGAAACGTCGTGATATCTCTTAATGTTCTCTCTACGTGACTTTACCGAAAGAACCAAAGAGTATGGATTCCTGCAGTCACGAAAGCTTCAAATCAAGATTAGTAGAAAATTGTTTTGCCGCGCGATGAATTCATCGATTGGTAGGAATGAAGTTTTCGTTGGCAGGGTGGTGTGGGAGGAGGAGGGTGTGAAAAAATAATTCGCCAAAATTTCCGCTATTTTCCGTGGAAAAAGTCCTCTCCCATCAACAACACGAATGCGGGTACCCCGATAGATCGCGGAGGCGGGCGATGTGTTAACTCAAGCAGATGTGCCGGATAATAAAATCGCCAGCCCTCGTTAAAGAATGCCTAATGCATAAATAGAGTAATTAATCTGTCCTTGTGAGCGGCACGCGACCGTGGCGGTGCGGGGGGGATGGGGGGGCTCGCACGCGGTGCTTTAAAGTGAAAATAAATTACGGAGGAGTTTGAATGACGCGTCTGCAGTTTTAATCGGAAATACTTTTTTGCGTTTTTAATGGATGCGCTGCGCAGGGTACCACTGGTGCTTGAGACTCTTAGCGTCAAAGGCGGTCTTCGCTATTGCCTCGGTCGGCTTTTGTTTGATCTTCACAACGTCGTATCTGGCGTTGTGTTGACAACGTCAGCCGTGGGGTTAAAGGTTAACTGCCGCTGAGGTAGTCCTCCACCCACCACACCTGCTGCGTGTGTTCTTGTTGACGGTACTCAATTTGGCGAGCACCTTCACCAATAGCAACAAGGTAACTAAGCGGGCAGTGCGCCTCCTTCGCGTATAAAACAAATGTACGTTTTGTTGATACTTCCCATTAAGCAAAAGGCCTTCTGGGAGTGAGCAATTTCAGCATCGTTGGTTCAACGAAACCGAAACTCTGGTGCGGTTTTTGACATTCCCCGTCTCATCAGCATAGTTCGACTTGCTTGAACCAATGCTGGTTTTACTTTTCAAATTTATTTAGTTGAACACGTAGGCTTTGTTCAATGTAATTAGGGATTACATTTCACTTTTTCTCAACGGTCATCATCCAGTAAAATTGTATCGACGGCTCAAACGGGTATGGGGCTTTGCCCAATCTGCATCGGTGGGGCCTGAGCTAGCAATGGAAACTCCGCTTTCCTTTAGCACGACCCCGGTCTCGTCACAGCTTACCCAAAGGTTGACGTCCACCAAAGCGGTACACTTTGATTATTATTTTGTATTTATTTACTCACGTCATTTGCTCCACAGAGCGACGATCAGGGCGAGTTATCTCCTTGAGGATTTGAACTCGTAACCCTGCTGGACTTGCGCCGGAGGGCACGGCGCAAGTCCAGAGGTCGTCTGGGACGCGCGCTTGTGCTTCCGGGATGGGCCGATTGCCAAGACGGGCGTTGGAGTGCTCTCCACGAATCTGGCGACCGAGGGCGTGAACTGAGAGGAAACGGCTGGAGACTGTCATGGCGTGTCCAAAACTAAACTGTTAAAACAATTTTTTATTTTACCAAGTGAGGTCCACAGAAGCGACCTGGCCCACAAGTGATAGCTCAACGAAGTGGCTTACTTATCGTATGGAAATGTATAGCAGCCAAATACTCCAAACTCGTGACGTTGATTCTAAGTGTGGAGGGAAAAAGAACGAGAGGACCCTGAGTAAAATCCACACGACTACGGGAAGATAGACACGCAAACTCCAAATATGCAGACGTCAAGGTCGGGATTGAACCTATGCCCACCTGTGCACCAGGCGAGGGCGTTAACATCGCACCACCGTGGCGTCTACTTGTGTGAGATCTGGCGGAGGGGTATAGAGCGTTGGTAGCGAGTCGTGGTGGTGGTAGTGGTGGCGGTAGTGGCGGCGGTGGTGGTGGTGGCGGCAGCGGTGCCTTTGATCGCGATGACAATCTTCATCTTGACGGCTGCAGTGCTACCCGGTCTGATGTGGCGTGCACATTCGGTAAATTGGCGTGACCCACATCTCTGAATTTAACACTAATTCACGCGTTGTAATGCGTGATTAGCACTTAGAATTGTCCTTAAAATATCCACAGCATTTTGCTTGGGACGAATGTCTTAATTGCGATCACGTTGTTACATGTTTGACTTGCTGTTGGTGTGTTCCGTTCATTTAAGTGTGACCTCATCTCAGGATTCCGCACAAACGGTGGGCGACACGTGCAGCACATACCTTGAGCTTGATGAAGCGGAGGAGAGGGAATTGAGGTGGTTTAGATTTTTTGACAAGCCAACGGTAGAACACCATCGTCCAGAGACGATGGAATGGTAGAGAAGGTGCACGTATTTTGTTGAACGATGTGAGAACTCCGGAGACTGGGATGGCCTCGTTGGTAAAAGTAACCTCAGCTAACTCTACCCTGCCTGGGTATCGAACAAACCGCACTTGGCACGGAGGGTCTCAGCAGTGTGAACAGCCAGAGGAAATGAAAGTTCTTGGCTAAGCTTTTTATTTTTTTTTACAAATCTTGACTACGACGCCGGCGCCGCATGTGGCCCTCACCATTGATCCACCCGCAGGGCATCGGCCACTTTCACCTGGCTGTCCGCCGACAACGTCTGCGACAAACGAGCGGTAGAAACGTCCCCTCTACTCGGCAACCGTCATCGCCGCCATCATAGACGCGTGTCATGCATGCGCGCGCGTGTGTGTGTCTGTGTGTCTGTGTGTGTACGGGGAGCGGTGGTGTAGCGGTTATGAACCCGGCGACCCGGGTTTGATTCCCGCTCGACGCCAACGATTATCTGAACCGGTCCTGGGCCTCCCCTAGGTCGACTCGGCTTCAAATGAGTACCCGGTGCGGTGTGTGAACATCGCCACCGGGTGAGACAAAGGCGGCCGGGCGTAGTGTTGGCCACCCACCCCCTCGTGTGCCGTTCCGGCCTTCGTAGGTGCTCGCTAACGGCACTTGCCCCTACAGTCTGTTAAGGCTACACGGGGGATCTTTGTCTTTGGTGCGTTCTCTCTCCGCAGGATGTCCTCGGTCGTGTCTACCATCGCCCCGCGTCGCAGGATGTGCTTGTTGTGCTCCCCACGGCGGGTCGCTGAGCTGCCGGGCCGACCTCTTCTTCCCCATGCTGCCGCTCTGGCCGTGTTATCCACAGCTCTAGGCCGACTCTTGGTTGGTATTTTGCGTCGCGGTGTGTAAAGCCGGAAGGTTTAAGAAAGAAAATGGTTGAAATAAACATTGGGGGGGGGGGGGGGGGGGGGAAAGTGTCTTTCGTTAATTTTCCGTAACGTCAACCCCTTTTTGAAAGTATCTCAATACAGCGTGAAAGAAAAAATACACATCAATGTTCGCTCACCCTGAGCCATTGGATATTTGAAGATACAGGAATTTGTTTTGTTTGTTAAACAAGGAAGCATTTAAAAAAAAAAACTCTTAAGGAAGCGTTTGTTGTTGTTGTTGATGCTGCTCCGTGTCTTCGGGTTACTTTCTGTTGATGTCTTTCATTGTTGTTGTTGTTGTTTCGGTGTGTGAACGCATTTCGAGATAAGCGCAAACTTTTAAGGGTACAGTTTTAGACTTCTGAAGGCAGCGTAAATGCAGATATACGCACGGAAAACCGTCGGATTGCTTGCAGAAGCGTTTAAGTGATGAAAGTATCGTGAACGCTGGGATATTCCCAGACATTTTGATGTTGCGCTTAATTATATCTACCAGTGGCTATGCGACGGTGAAAGTGTCCTTAGAAGCCATTCGATTACTCTCTTGCAAAATCACCATTTTCACGGAACGTTTTGAAAACCTGGTACAGTATCTGCATAACCGATGTGCATATTCGTTGTTTCAGTTGACATGAAACAGTTTTATTTGCAGTTACAGAGTCACCGCTGGAGCCAACTTTTTTTTATTTCTCGCAAACTTATTCGCAATATCACACACCATGTGCTTCACGGGGTTATGAAAGATAGCCTCCAGCAAGGTGGACCCGAGATTTCCTTCATCCGTCAGTTGCAAAGTTTTGTTCTTGGGGTCATTTGTATGTGCTTGCCAACACCCAGGCACTACCCAAGAAATGTCAATGGCCTGCAACCCTGAATGTGTTTAATCCCATCGGATCTTGGCTGCTGTGTAGTGTTAAGCCTGATTAGCTTTTGGCTTGGTAACCACCAGCGCTTTGCCGGTGGCTTGGGCATATCGCAAGGGCCGTGAGTTTGCAGGTAGATGGAATCGTGGCGATGGGCGTGATCACCACTCACCGCGACCGAGTTTGTGACGTGTCCGTGTGGAGCTGTGAGTTTGAACGCCCCTCATCCAACGCGTGGGTTTTTCACGGGGTGCTCAGTGCCCGCTCCACATGCCACTCGTTATCATCCCAATGGACGGGACCCGATTGGTAAACCTCAGATGGGGGGGTATAACATTCCAGACTTGTGGCTGAGAGCATTGAGACTCACGATGGTGTAGCAACTCTCGGCCACGTGTCCAAGGGATTTGACGTCGTCATTATTCAGCCACGAAAACACCGATTTGTTGTTCTGTTATTGTTTGTTCATAATTACATCGTTAATCATCTGTCGGCAGTCGTTTGCGGCTGAGCATTTACTCACTGCAGTGAGTTGCCTCTCCATTTGAACTCTTCTAGGTGCGGACTAAAGTCTGGGTTGTGTTTTAAAGTCGTGCAACACGTGATCATTACGCAATCCCAGCAGCACGAGGTTCCGCAAGCAGAAATGGGCGTACGTTGATCTCCGTCTCTGACGTTGCTAAAATAGCGCAATGTGCCTTCACAGAGCCAAGAACAAACTGCGTGCATATTACTAATAGGGTTTTTCCCCTTTTTTCTGGCAACAAAACTGATACCTTTTGCAAGGAATCATGCTTACATTAACCACAATACTTGCAGTAAAATGCAAACAAAAAACAATACTCTGATAATTAATGCATTGTCTTTGAAACTGATTGATCCACACCAGAGACAGATTTCTTTGGAGCCTTTGACTGCACGTATTGTGGTTAATGTAAGCATGATTCCTTGCAAAAGGTATCAGTTTTGTTGCCAGAAAAAAAAATGGAAAAACCCTATTAGTATATTTCGGTACTGGCAAAGGAGGCCCCATGATGCGTGATTATTGTCAAGCAGTGGCGTGAGCAGTGGCACGTGACGCAATGTTCATACGCGGGGCAGTCATTTATAAGAGATCGCCCAAAGGTTTTGAGGCCTAAACACAAGCGATTGCATCTCCACGTACAGAACTCACGTGGGCATGGGACTCTGCTCATCTCGATTGGCAGCCCCGAAGCCAGTGAAGGAGGTTCCACATTCGTATAACTCGGGCCAATTCTCTCTTTTAGAAGAAGCAACGCTCAGCGGAACTTGGGGGTTTGTCATCCACTGGTGAGCTGATGGACCGATTTGACCCTTGAGCCAGGGGTGTTTTAAATCGTGACATTGCATTAAATTATAAAAACTAAACAATTTATTTTACCAGGTAAGAGCCCACTGAGCTATGAAGCTCGTTTTCAGAAGCGACCTGGCCACAAATGATAGCTCAACGAAGTCGCTATTCACGTAGAAATTTATAGCAGCCAAATCGCGTGTTTATAATTGTGGAGGGAAAAACCGGAGGACCGGAGAAAAATCCACACGACCACGGGGAGAGAGAGAGAGACACGCAAACTCCAAACACTCAGCAGGCGTCAGGGTCGGGATCGAACCCACGACCTCCTGTGGACTTGGCGATGTAGTTAACGTCTCATCACCATGGCGCATTCATGAGCCATGCGGTTTGATCGCAGCAGCAGCACCCAGATGATGCTGCTACGAAACATATCGCTTCTCTCCATTGCTAAACATAAAGCACAGTCAGAGCCCTGCATATGTAACTGATCATTGTAGTAGCAGCAATAGTGATAATAAGGGCATTGATGTTCGGAGTTGATCTTTCGGAACAGAATATGTCATCTAAAAACGTAACGTGCATACAAACGAGTTTTTGCGTATCCTGCATGCTGTGTATACACGTGCAGTGTGTTTTCTTGAACGAAGAGTCACATATATATATAAAATCTATATATATTTGACTCGTATGCAGGTGGCTCAGCCGTAGGGCTCGTGGCTCGCAATTGGAAGGTTGTGAGTTCAAATCCTGGTCGTGGTTTGACTCGGCCCATCATCCCTCCAGGGTCAATAAAACGGGTACCACTTTGTGGGGAAAGTCGATGGTGGTTGTCCTATGGCCTGACTCGCTCCCTCGTCCGAAGGAGTGTGGCATTGACACAGCTGGCTCAGGGCTGTGAGCAGGAGCTGAGCACCAGTGACTCAATGCTCACTTGAGCTGCATCATTTTAGACGCATCGCCTGCATGCCCCCCGATTAGCATGGTGGGCTACGTCGGTTGCGTCGGAAGTTCAACACACGTACGTACACTCGTGCAATGTGTACAGCCTTCGTGGGTCAACGTCGACATACGTACGAGGCATGTAACGATGCATCGACTCAATGATTAAATACTTTCCGCACATAATCTTACCCGGAGGAATTAAATGTGTACGCATTCATGCTAATTGTATGCGATCCATTAGTCTGTTATATTTCGGCTAATAGACCTGACTAAGCTCGTGGGACAGAAGCAAATACGCAAGAAACAAGATGTGAGATTCGTCAAAACGAGACAATCGGTGAGTGGTTCCTGAATCGGATCGTGACTGCCGGATTTTGGGGCAGTTTCATAGAAGCACCGAGAAGGGGAATCGTTACGCGCCTGGCGTATGCACCAATCGCTTCGTGGTTGCCTGTAATGATTTAGCGTTTATTTCGGTTTGCTTTCTACATTTGCCGTTTGTTAATAAAAGATGCCATTTAAACATCTCGCGCGGTTGGGGTGGGTTTCTCTCTTCTCCAGTGTCCCTTGCGTTTCAAACATTCGCCTTGTTTATTGACCGGTCGGAAGGTCACAGGGACTAATGTAAGCCCTGCGATAAAAAATATATATAATAACTTGGCCGTGAATGTGGCAAAAGAATGCGGCATCAAGCCAGGCCGGTCACTCTGCACGGTGGCGGGGTTTGGGACCTTGCGCCTAGATTTATCACCCTCGTCGTGCTGGTTTGCCGCTTAACAAAAAGGGCTTTCACCAGCGCTGCGAACACAGCGCTGCCTCCCGTGGTGTAACACCCATTCGCGTCGGGGCCTGAGCACTTTACGAGCCGCCGGGTTATTTAAAGCATTCGTCCTGAAGTGATCCGCGGAGGCGCGTTAATGATCTTATTTACAGGGACGTCCGGCCCTCGTAGGAGCAACAAATCACTTGAAAATTATCCACCGCGTCTAAATGTCCACGTTTAGCGAAGACACCGCGGGTCTCGCGCGTGACCATGCCGGGCGGCGGGGGGGTGGCCCTGACGACAACTTTGGCCGCGCTGCCGTGCGCGTGGAAGTGTTTCTTTTTTTCCTCACCCCCCCAAAAAAAGCTCCACGCAGTCCGTTGCATCCGGCCACAGCAGCGCAGTGGCGCTTAACCGGCCGAAGCGGTAGGGCCAGCGAGCGGTTGAGCGAGTGAGCGGGCCCCATCGTAAGGTTCCGAGTTAAAATCCCGGCTCTGGGGGTCGACTCGCTCCATCTTCGCTGCGGTGTCGATACAGCCAGCGACACTTTTGCGGCGAAGTTAATCCCGGTTTGGTTGTCCGATGGAGGAACTCGCCGTCACCATTAGGAACGTGGAATTTCCCGCCACCGACTCAGAGCCTGTGAACAGGAAGTCCGAAGCACCTCTTTTGAGACGATCAAATGACTCCGAGCGACTTGTCGCGGCGAGAAATAAATCGCTTACCGTTTGTTCGCGCTCTCCATTGGCAGCTCGGCGAGCCGGTGGGAAAAGTCCCACGTTCCGCAAAGCTCGCGCTCGTCTCTCCGCGGTGCCAACACTATTTGATGGCAGCGTAAGTTTAAAAAAAATACGTAATAATGATTCACGGTACTACATGCCCCACCCGTGTTAACGAACCGTGGGGAAGGCGCTTTCCCATTCGGCTCGGCTAAGCGGTCGCATTGCGGTGGCTCTTACCCCCAGTCCTGCCGAATTAATGGGAATGTTGCAGCGTGTGACCTGGCTTGACCAGACTCATCTCTGGGAGTTCACTTTCATTTGCGCGCGATTGTCAGTCCCGGCCTGATGGCCTCCTCCTGACACGCCGGTGGTGGCGGCGATGAAA